TTCTCTTTATTCCCCCGTAGTTTTGCCACTCATATGTTTTTGTTTTTTCAGAGGAGAGCAATACCAGGACATTATGACAGGTTAATGTAAGTTATGCACAATACAAACGCCCAAAGAGAGACATTAAGTAAAGTCTGCAGAGAAAGAAATTATAATTTTCTACACATTTGTTTTGTAAAATAAATCTCTTCAGCTATAAAAACAAAGAACAAAAGAGAGCAGCTCTCTTATTTATGCGAAAATTATGTTTTTCACATCTCAGCCTCTTTCTATTTTCTCCATTTGTGTTGTTTTTCTTGTTTCAATAAAGATGGAGCCACAACAAAAGCACAAACACCTATTTTATCCTTTGCACTGAGATTTATATGTGAGTAAGCTTTGTGTTCATGGCCATAAAACAGGACTTACTGGGTTTGCTGGAATCCAAGAGTGCCAATTATGCTTTGAAGGCTGAGTAAAATGTGGTCACTATGTCATTGGAGCACTATGCACAAGTCAGCCTGCAGACTAGTAATACAACACCATACTGTCCATACTCCAGAGTCCGCTGCTACAGTCAGGAGAGTTATGGGATCTACATTATCCACATACACCCCCCCCCCCCCCCCCCCCCCCCCCCCCCCCCGCTGCCTTCCCTTTGTCTGCAGCCAATGCATCAGTCACTGAGCTGGCTTCTGTTCTACCAGACTTACTTTCTTGAGCTGATTGTGCAGCCACCGCTCTGTGCTCTAATCAGCTGCAGGATAATGGGTTCAAATGAGGCTAAATGCACATGATTGCTAAGAGGCTTCTGCTATGACTAATGCATGACAGAGGAATTTTTTAAGTGTACCTGAGAAACAATAAAATCGATTCGCAGGGAGATAAAATAATTGATGGCATAAATGTTTGTATTTTCACAGGATAAGAATGTGTGTGGGAAGAATACCAGTTTCAGATTCAGCTGCTGTTTCCAATGCTACAGCTAATTTTCCATAAATGTGTACTTTTGCGTTCTCGTGTGCTCGTGAAACATCATCAGCCTCAGCCCTAGTACTGTTGCTATTCACAAGAACAGCAAACAGAGAACAGACAAAGTTCCTGGATGTTATTCTGGCCCCTCCCTCTTTACCCAGCATGCATCAGAGCAGACTTGTCCGTCCTCCAGACTGACAGCTGTCCCAGCATGCACTGCGGCGGCAGCAGTTTCCAGGTTAGCGCTCACAGAGCTCAGAGTATTAAGTTAAAAGTTCTCTTTTCTGTTGCTGTTGTTCTAGAAAAGTAGGTTTTAAGATCATTTAAGGCGAAAACATTATATTTTTAAGCTTCACTATACGGCCCATTTACTGATGAAATGCGAAATAAAAAAAAAGAATTTCCGAAGTTGAGAGGACCGCGGCAACCAGCGGACCGCCGAGGGTAACTGCAGCCAGGGCTAACGTTAGCCCTTCTGCAGCAGCCAGGGCTAACGTTAGCCCGTCTGCAGCAGCCAGGGCTAACGTTAGCCCGTCTGCAGCAGCCAGGGCTAACGTTAGCCCGTCTGCAGTAGCCAGGGCTAAAATTAGCCCGTCTGCAGTAGCCAGGGCTAACGTTAGCCCGTCTGCAGCTGCCCTCTCTCAGCATAGCCTTGTGTGAAGTACCGCTGGCTATGATGTCGACATTTTTCATTTTATTTGGCAAAATGTTAAAATGTTAATTTTATTTATGTTTATCTGACGGTTTTCATTATTATTCCCCCACTTAATTAAAAAAGAAAGAATTTATTATTATCTAAAGACTATTAATAACAGGAGGTGAAATGCAGCTCCAGACGAGCCGAGCGTGTGGTGATGTCATCAGTACGCTTCTGTTCCAATGGACCCTGATTTCTGCTGCGTGCTCCCGTTCCTTCAGAGTCCAGACTTTCCTGGGTTCAGAACATACTTGGCGAGGACGCAATTCCGTTCTTGCGAATTGAGAAACGGCCACAACTAAAAGAACCCTTTTCTTTCTAAAAATGGATGCCATCAGAAATCCTGGAGCTTGATACACGGCTCAGCTAATCTCAGCTGGTTATACAGAAATCCAGGAGATGTTAAAATGCTTCTATGATGTTTAGTATGCACCCGTAACGCAGACGAAACGACTACTTAGTGGTTAGTCTCCTGATCACACACTCCACATGCCCATAATATCTGGTCCAATATTAAATCCATCAGTCCAGTCTCAGTCCATCCCTGGATTGGAAATCAGCAGCAAAGTTATCAGAAGAAAGAAGGAAAACATTTAGAGTGAGAGGAGCTGGGAAATTAAGTTAATCACCTTGAAAACCTGGAAAGAACTGATCCAAGGTGAAGAAAAAAAATATTATTATATTAGGAAACAGAGTTTTTGAAGTTCAAAGAAACATGCAGCCTGTTTGTGTGTGACAGGTTTTTAACACGCCTAACAATGGACGCTATAGAAAACTGCTGTCTGTGCAAAAAGCCATGCCAGAGGCCATATTATGGGAAACGATGTGGCAGGTTTGACAGCACAATAGCAGCCGATGATTGCCCCTGGAGCCTGAGAGGGGAGAATGCTGATGAGTACGCTGCTTTAGAACAGCTATACATGTGAAAAACCAAATACTAGACTCCCATTACTACAGTTCTACACTGATGATGTAATGTCTTAGCGATACAACCCCCCCCCCCCCACCCCCCCCCCCACCCTTTTCCCTTTTTCTGCTCACTTTTGGTGCACCCTCTTTTTTTTCTCCAGGGCACAAAATGAACCTGTCCCATTGGTTAATGGAACCTTAGAGATGCTGAGAATATCCACCAACCAGGGCCCAGGTGCCCCTTCACATGGTTACCACAGCAACCCCTCACAACCACATGTATGAAAGCGCGCAGCAGCATACATGAGTTCAAATGTGCTTCTTGTCACTCAGAGCTTGAATGTCTGTGTGTGACTTTGGCATAGGAGGAGGAAACAAACAACAAGCCTCCAATGAATGGCTCCTCTTGAGTTCATGAACCAGAGAACATATGAGGGGCGGGACAATGATGCTACTGTATCTTTGACAGAAATAAACAGTCGAACTCTGTTAAAAGGGCTGCTCAGGACAAGCTTCACTCTAAAATGTCTGGCCACTTTTTTTTTTTTGCATTTATGCAAATAAAATAAGAGATGAAGGGAAATGTTTTTTTTTTGCTATAAATAGAGCATACACCTAATTAAAGAATGCAGAACATTTTTATTTTTCAGTGAGAAACTATAAAATGCATTTATCTTCACAACTCTTACAATCTGAATGCATTTGTTTGGGTTTTTAAAAGTAAGAGCTAAATCGAAAAAAAAAAGAAAAGAAAAAGCGAAATCGTACGGAAGAGGATTAGGGCCACTGAAAAAAAAAAAAAGAAAAGTTAACTGATTTTTTAATTTTATTTCAGTTTAGTAAGTCAGAATTCTGACTTTTTTCTCAGAATTCTGACTTTTTTCACAGAACTCTGACTGAATTCTGACAATAAAAAAGTCAGAATTCTAACTTTTTTTCTCAGAATTCTAACTTTTTTTCTCAGAATTCTAACCTTTTTCTAAGAATTCTGACTTTTTTCTCAGAATTCTGACTTTAATCTCGGAATTCTGACTTTTTCTCAGAATTCTGACTTTTTTCTCAGAATTCTGACTGAATTCTGACAATAAAAAAGTCAGAATTCTAACTTTTTTCTCAGAATTCTAACTTTTTTCTAAGAATTCTGACTTAAATATCAGAATTCTGACTTTTTTCTCAGAATTCTGACTTTTTTCTCAGAATTCTGACTTTTTTCTCAGAATTCTGACTTTAATCTCAGAATTCTGACTTTAATCTCAGAATTCTGACTTTTTTCCTCAGAATTCTGACTTTAATATCAGAATTTTGACTTTAATCTCAGAATTCTGACTTTTTTCTCAGAATTCTGACTTTAATATCAGAATTTTGACTTTTTTCTCAGAATTCTGACTTTTTTCACAGAACTCTGACTGAATTCTGACAATAAAAAAGTCAGAATTCTGACTTTTTTTCTCAGAATTTTGACTTTTTTTCAGAATTCTGACAATAAAAAAAGTCAGAATTCTGACTTTAATCTCAGAATTCTGACTTTTTTTCCCATACTAAACTGAAATAAAATTTTAAAATCAGTAAACTTTTTTTTTTTTCTCCAGTGGCCCTAATCCTCTTCCGTAAAATCGAGACACACATCACGTCTTATTTTTTTTAATCTATTATTTACACTTTGTTATAGATTTGTTCTGTTTTATTTACACCAATATTTTCAAATCGCATATGGTTAAAGCCTTTTTTATTTTAAATATTTTTTATTTGACAATAAAAAAAAAATCTATATTGGCTTAATCAGCAATAGAACTTGTGTGTTGCTCCCTGGGCACCACACAATGGCAGCCCACTGCTCCCCAAGGGGTGAAAAGCAGAGGGAAATTTCTCCAATGTGAGAGCAATAAAGTTCAATTATTATTATTATCCTTATAATTACAGTAAACTTTAAATATAGCTGCACGATGGAGACTAAATAAGCTTTATATTACAAAAGGATAAGAACTGTCTTGTTATAATGGGATGATTTGTTATGTCATTGCTGTATCTATTCCAGGATTACCTGTGCCAGCTTGTATAGTAGCACTTAAAGCCGGTTACATCAGTGTCATTAAGCCAGTGTGTACAAGCAAAGGTAAATCCTCTCCAGGATAATAACAAGCTACCTGAGCAGGAACTGGCTCACACTGCAAGGTCTCTCTGATAGGTTTCAATCCCTACTGCGGGCTAATAGCAGCACTCAGCACTGGGAGATGGAGAGGATGCTGTTACACTGTCCTCACATATTACCATGACGATAATATGTCAAAAAAAACTAACTGAATGCTCTTTAAAGTAATAATCATGAGCTTCTAAGCCTGGGCACTGTATCACCTACGTTGCACAATCACATTAGATTTTGATCTGCATCAACAATCAATCTCTTTGCAGTGCGGTTGTCTTTGATGGATCCATTCCTTACCGGTACAGGTGAAGCACTTGACATGAAAATGAGTGTCTTGAACCCGAACCACTTCCCCTTTGCATACTTCTCGACACCGCTGGCACCGGATTCGCTCAGAGCTCCGCTCACTGCGTGTTGAGACTTGCTGATGGGCTGCAGAACATAAAAACATGCTAAATGTCGCATCTAAAAGATAAAAGGCAGATTATTTCATATACTGTAAGTATTTTGACCAAAGTTTATATCAGCCTAAAACTGTGGCAGAGGAACAGCTCTTATTTGATTTTAACATTTTATTCACACAATTCAAACAATAGAATCAATTACTGATGTAAAACAAAGTCAGTTAAAATCACTGTTAAGGTAAAAACAAGTGTCAGCTAAAAATCATTAAATGAGGAGCTTGTTAAATTGTAGTTTTCCTTCATCTGACACGGTACATAGAGATGGCAAAAGTACTCACTTTCCGTACTTGAGTAAAAGTACAGATACTTGTGTTAAAAAATACTCTGGTAAAAGTGGAAGTACTGATTAAACTTCTTTACTCAAGTAAAAGTAACAAAGTACAGGCTTGTAAATTTACTTAAGAATACTTCTCATCTCTGATTATTTTCAATACTCAAGAATACACCACAATACAATTCGATTTGATTAATTGTTTTTTTTTTTTTTATTAAACACCTTACAGGCTAGACAATGTTTCAAATGTGAAATAAATCAATGAAAGCTGTAATATTGTATGCAGTTTTCTTGAGAAACAACAGCAAATAACAGAAATAGAAAAGTTGCACTCCACCTATTCCTATTAAAACCTCATTCACTGAAAAAGAAATAATACCCCTGCGTTATAGATTCTGAAAGGCCTTGCATCAAAAAATACTGAACAAAATCAGTGCAATAAAAAAAAAAATAAAATAAAATAAAAAAAAACTTGAATCGATGCATTGGATCGTCGGCTGTTGGATCAATGCATCGAAACAAAACGATTATTATAGCGCTGAAGATTTAACTGCGTGGGACGTCCCATATCTGGAACTCTGTCAACGCTTTTCGAAGCTGTGAGGTCAGACACATACAGCTGGGTGACGTCCAAACTTTCTTTCCTATTTTCTGTTTCTCACACCCATGCTTCATCACCTCATTCTGCTGTAAGTTTGTGAAATAATATAAATATAATAAATAATATTAAATAAGTTCCCACAAATTCCCTCAATAGAGTTAGAAGAAAATACCCTCAGAACTGAAAAAAAAACATCGAACTCTGTTTTATTATTTTAAAATCAGGCTATTAGAGCAGGTCAGACAAATGATGTGAGATATTAACATATTTTCTGGTTTCCACAGGGCTGGAATATAGACTTTTTGTCGGGACGGCTCAGTCCATTGGTCTTTATTGTTCTTCCATAGTGAGATTAAGTGGTTGAACTCTAATGAAGAAGACTGTTGGCAGAGTAACAGAGCGGCCTGACAGTTTGAACTGGCTGAAGGACTTTTCTATTTCCGCCTGAGTAGCAGCAGCAGCATATGAGCTGACACAACAGAGTAGCTGATTCCATTTCACTGGTTGAATTTTCAAGGGCTTACGGCAGTTAAAAGGTCAAAGCCGATGCTCTTCTTGAATTAATGCAGTTTTATGTATTCCTACTAGATTTCTAGCCAAATAAAAATATAAATTTTGTTCTGTGTCTCAGCGTCATTCTTCGCTCGGTGGATCATAATCCAGCAGCTGTGCACATTAACAATGCATTTTTAAATGATAGTCATTTCACAACCTGCAGAACTTTCTTTTTTGTAATCTGTTCGATATTATTTGAGATTTTTTTTGGCAAAACCTTACATTGGAAAAAAATAGAAATCTAGAGAAGCCATTTTTTTCTTAAAATAAGTGCATTTGTTCTTGGATTGAGGAGGTAAAAGAGACATTTTGCCAATGGAACAAGACAATTTACATTTAAAATAAGGAAACAAAATTGCATTGTCTTATTTCAAGTGCATATTATTTAATTATCTTATTTTAAGAGTAAAAATACTCATTCCATTGGCAAACTTTCTCATTTACCTACTCAAATTAAGGTTAAATACACTTAATTTTGAACATTTGTACATATTTCTAGATCGTTTTTCCAGTGTAAAGGTATAGTGGAGAAAGACCTGCACTGGAAAAAACTACTGTATCTAGAAACAAGTAAAGATTTCTTAAATTAAGCGTATTTACCCATCAGAACAAGGTGAGAGCCTCACCAGACTATTTACCTGGGACTTGGTTGAGACAAAGTGTATATTCTGCTTATTTGTAACTGGCAGGTTTGTTATTCTTCCATTCATTTGCCTGTTGTAACCGTTTATTATTATTTATTTTTATATCTGAGCCTGATTGTTGATAGTTGTTGTTTTTGTCTATTTCTACTGAAAATTGTAAAATAAAATATATATAAAAAAAGTGTATTTATCCTTAATTTGAGTAGGTAAATGAGATCTTAGAATAAAATCTTAAAATAATATCATTAGATAGTATGCACTTTAAATAATTTCTTATTTTAAGTGTAAATTGTCTTGTTTCATTAGCAAAATGTCTCTTTTAGCTCCTCAATCTGAGAACAAATTTACTTATTTTAAGACTTATCTAGATTTAGATTTTTTCCAGTGTGCCCTCTCCACACTGCAAAACTGTCTTATATTAAGGGTAAGCAGGTAAATAAGATAGTTTGCCAATGGAATTAGTATTTTTACTCTTAAAATAAGGTATCTAGATAAAACGCACTTGAAATAAGACGATGCAATTGTTTTTTCTTATTTTAAGTGTAAATTGTCTTGTTCCATTGGCAAAGTGTCTCACTTGAATCTTTAATTCGAGACAAAATGCACTTCTTTTAAGAAGAAATGACTTATTTAGATTTCATTTTTATGCAGTGCAAAATGCACATGCACAACCCTGTGCCCACTCCTGGGATGGAACGCTTATTAAACACGTGCAAGAGAATGCACAAGCCCATTTTTTCCTCGAAAATTCTAATAGGAGTGGCTAAAAGTAAATAGCTGCCAGAACCTCATTGTCAATCTACACTGTTCCAACAAGAATGAGCAAAACAGCCATATTTTCTAAATAAAGACAAATCATGTTGTGACAAACACCAGATACAGCACTGGGACTTGATCAACAGCCGATACCGCACCGTGACGTCACTAACCAGCAGGTGGCAGTAGTGTTCTTTGACAAACATGGATGCCTCCAGTAAAGCACATTCACATGAAAATTACTCTGAATTAAAAACACTGATCATTTATTGAACAGGATGAAATAATTTCATATTTAAAGTAATTTCAGAAGTTTGAATACTGAATATGAGCGAACTTTTCCTTTAAATTATTTGTTTTAAGTCACTTTATCTAATTCATCCATTCTAAAAAGAAGAAGTAACAGAAAGAGCTCTGTCTTCCCGTGTCATTAGTTCAAGAGATATCTAAGAGCAGCAGATCTACACTGGAAAAATCGAAATCTGCATAAGTCATTTTTTTCTTGAATTTAGGGGGTAAGTGAGACACTTTGCCAATGGAACACTGCAAAAAAACTAAATCTAGATAAGTCATTTTTTTCTTAAAATAAGTGTGTTTGTTCTTGTATTGAGGAGGTAAAAGAGACATTTTGCCAATGGAACAAGACAATTTACACTTAAAATAAGAAAACACAATTGCGTTGACTTATTTCAAGTGCATATTTTCTAATTATCTTATTTCAAGATTAAAAATACTCATTCCATTGGCAAATTATCTAATTTACCTACTCAAATTAAGCATAAATACACTTAATTTAAGAAATGTTTACTTATTTCTAGATGGTTTTTCCAGTGACAATTGACATTTAAAATATGAAAAAAACAATTTTTTGTCTTATTTCGAGTGCATATTATCTAATTATCTTATTTTAAGAGTAAATTTCCTCATCCCATTGGCAATTAAGCTTATTTACCTACTCAAATTAAGGGTAAATACATTTAATTTAAGAAATTTTGACTTATTTCTAGTTAATTTTTGCAGTGTATCCTCAAACTTCCTCTTAGAATGTGCTTGTGTGAGATCCATAACTTTTCTATATTTTAAAAGAAAAATTATACAGTTCCTATATATAAAAAAGAAAAGGTATTTCTTTTTCAATGTATTCATTGATAGTATATTGACTCTACTCAGTGAGAAAGGCCTCATTGTGTTCATGGTTGTTCTGTGTTGATAAATTAAAGCACAAGTTAGAGGTTTTCATTTAGGCTGTCAGCAATTTAGTTTTCTTTAAATGGATAAAAACTTATATGCACTTTTAACAGCATTTACTTTGTTTTACAGAATCAGTTTGTCTGGAAACGCCGTTGGAACTGAAGCTTATTGAGGAAAAACAATATCTTCACAGAGTTGGCAGTAAGGCATGGCTGGGTTTGTTTATTTTCCTGTCCAAAACAGGAGTGTGTCTCTTCCAAATATGCTACAGCGATTCTCATACCACATCCCCCACAGTTTACTCTCTGTGAGTTCATTGTTTCGCTCACAATGCTGGCGGCACCCCTGGGAACAACAACCTGGCCCGATAAGTGCCCAGCCGCTAGTTTGAATAAAAGTTCCAAGGAAGTGTTTTATTTTTTCTTGTAAAAGCAAATGAACAGCCCAGATCCCATCAAGTGTGAATGTAAGATAATGGGAACTAATGGAAGTTCAAGCGGGTCTGAGATCATCTATTGAAAACACACAAGGGCAATTATTTACACTGCTGACCTTCTGAAACGGAGCCAAAACAAATATCTAGCACAGAATAATATCCTATGCTTCCCATACCAGCCAAGCTGAGATGTAGAGAAGATATGAAGCCCAGTTTGAAATTCTCATGTGTAAAAAAATACCATGATTCTAGGGTATTAAAGTAGGGCTTTAAGATAAAAATATAAAACATGAACAGTTTATACAAAACTAATGACATTTTTTAGGGATGCACGATATCGGGATTTTGGCCGATATCCGATATGCCGATATTTTAAAACTCATGTAGCCGATAACCGATATCGATACTGATGTTAAAGCTGGACAAAAATAAGTAGTCATTGAAAATAGCAGTTTTGTTATCCATTTCTGACACTTTGAAAAATAATATACTCAAATATATTTTCATATGC